ATGTATGTGCATATGTGTGGGTGTGGGTATCTATATCTATATAGACATACATACCTATATACAAACACACACACACACATATGGTGTATATAGGTATTTGTGTACACAAACACACACACACACACAGGATTAGTTCAGTCTCCATTCCAGTGGCAACGTCCCTATCCTCAGATACGCTCTGCATATATCCATTTTGCCGTAATAGATTTCTCAGGGAGCCAGCCCTTTGTTTCCAGCCTTGGCCGAATCCCAGCAGGGCCGGGAAGTCAACGCCAGCTGAGGTTGCGGTGAATCCTAACACACACACCCCCTTCTCCCTCTGGACGTCCCCTTCAGCCAATTAGAGCCTGGCTCGCCCTGGGCTGCACTGGCGCTGAGGGCCAGGTGCTCGTGGCCATTTCCTCAGGTGAGACGACTTCAAGGGTCTCCTGCTTGGACCCCTTGCAAGATTTATGCTGCAGCTTTTTCCGCCTGCAGAAGCAGCTGTCACTCACGCCGGAGCATTAAAGATGGAGAAGTCAAAATAGTTTTGCCAACTTTAGACATCTCACTAAAGGAAGCGAAGGCGCCAGGTTCCCTCCGCCGGGGATGAAGCCACCTGGATTTCCAGCTTCCGCGAGGGACAATTTGAGAGGGGGAGGGTTCCCCCACCACCACGAAGCCAGGTTGTCCCACGGATGGTTTTAAGAAGAAACTGGACAGCCCCCCGTCTGAAATGGTGTAGGGCCGTGATGGCGAACCTATGGCATGAGTGTCACAGGTGGCACGCAGAGCCGTTTGCGTGGGCACGCAAACTTACCTCACTGCATCCGTGCGGGTCTCCCAGCTGATTCTCGGGCCTTTCTCAGCCTGCCAGAAGCTTGAGGGAAGCCTCTGCAGGCCGAAAAATAGGCCCAATTCGTCACTCTCTGTATTTCCGGAAATACCAGAAGTGATGACCTAGGCCCATTTTTTTGGGCTGAAAAGCCTGCAGCGGCTTCCTTCAAGCTTCTGACAGGCCGAGAAAGGCCTCAAATGGGCCGAAAATCAGCTGGGAGGTGCAGTGCAGGTAAAGGGGCGGTGGCGTGGGGGAATCCCCCGCGGATGCACAGGGGGCATGTGGAGGCTGTGTGCATTGCCTTCTGGGTGCTGGCATGTGAGCAATTTGGGGCACAGGAGCCCAAAAAGGATAGCCACCCCTGGTGTAGGATCTCCTGCAAGGGGTTGGACTAGATGACCTACAAGGTCCCTTCCAACTCTTTTATCTGTTAAACTAATCCGATCCTCTTGTTCTTTGGGTGGGGACTTTTGACGGAGTTGGGGATCATGGGAGTCCTGCTCTCTTCTCCCTTCTTCTCCCAACCTGGCCTTCGTCAGAAGCGGGCAATGCTTTCACCAACTTACTGCTTTCCATTAGGGTGGGACTACAAGGTCCCTCCTCCCCAGCCAAGGACAGGCAGGAGGTATTTGGGCTGGAGCTGATGGGAATTGGTGTCCTCTGTCTTAATCCTATCAAGCTTGAGCATGGCTTTTCCTAATCTGCCCTGGTCCAGTTCTCGTGGCTGGGGATGATGGAAGCCTGGTCCAGCACGCCTTCCTTTCCCTTGGCTCCTTGGGGCTGGGGAGGATGGGCGCTGAATGCCACAGCACTGTGTGGAAACTCCCAACGGCACAACCACTCCTCTTGTGGACGGGGATGATGGGTTTTCTGGTGTTCCTTCTCTCCTTCTATCATATGGGGGCAACATAGGAACCGTGGGATGCTGGCAACGCAGCACCTAGCAGCTGTGGATGATGGGCCTTTGCTTTGTACGGGGCTGTGGGACAGCCCAGTTCCAGCTGAGGATGATAGGCCCTATAGGAGGCTATGAGACACTCCCAGATGAAGCTGGGGACGATGGATCCCTTGCCCTGCACAGCTTCGGCTGGGGATGATGGACCCCTTGCCCTGCACAGCTTCGGCTGGGGATGACGGACCCCTTGCCCTGCACAGCTTCGGCTGGGGATGATGGACCCCCCTCGCCCTCCACGTAGCGCTTAATCTCCTCCATTCTAAGCCCAACCGGGCCACGCGCGCAGCGGAGGGCGTGGCCTTCCCGCGGCCGGGGGGCGTGGCTAAGAGCGCGGCCCCGCCCCGCGCTCGCCTCCGCCTTCTCCACAACCGGCCAAGATGGCGTCGCTCTCGCTGCTGGAGGCCTCGATGCCGGCGACCGGTGGCTTCTCCTTCCACAACACCGCCCGGTGAGGCCGGGGAAGCGGCGGGGAGCCGGGCGGGGAAGCCCCAGGAAGCCGGCCGGAGGAGCCGGAGGGGCCCAGGAGGCCGCGGCGGAGCCCCTCTCAAGCCGCGTCGGGCTCGGCCAAGGCGGCCGTGACTCAGGAGCCGGGCTCCGCGCGGGCCAAGCCGGCCCGGAGCGGAACGGACGCCCGGCTGCCGCTTCCTCCCGTACGGGGAAACCCTCCCCCCCTTCTCCGCTTCCCGGCGGGTTGTGCCGGTTCCCGGCGACGGACGGGGCCAGCGCTTCTCCGGGCCCGCTGGGAACTACTCCTCCCAGAAGCCCCGGCGCTTGGGGTCCCACGCTGAAGCATGCTGGGAGTTGGAGTCCGGGAAGAGAAGGGGCGCCTCTAGGCAGCCAGCGGAGATGGGGGGGGTGGGAGGGATGCGAGGATCTCCCCTCCCCTCCAAAACCAGCCCCTCCTTGGGTTGCACCCTGTTTTTTCAGCCCCAGGTGGGGAGGCGGGGGCGAAGGAACCCCCCCCATCCATCTGTCAAGAAGGGGGGGGGGTGATACAAGTAATTCCTTTTCGACATAACCTGAACATCCTAATTCTTGTATTGAATTTGTATAACCTGCACAAGATTTTACAACTTGGGGGGCTGGAGGGCCCACCTCTCCCCCATGCCTGGAAACTTGTCACCTCTTGGAGAAAGAGAGAAAGAGAAGAAGGGGCCATAAAAAATCCCAGCTTCAAAAGAAGAAGAATCTTATCTCAACTACATTCCCAAAACAACAACAACAACAACAACATGAAATTAACATGTTGTTTCTTTGTATTGTCGAAATCCACACCGGACTAAGGGGAGGGGCTCTAACTCCCTTTCTCTAAGCTGCATGCCTGGAAGGATATCAGATCCTGCTTGGAAGGTGGACCGTCTGTCTTCCTTTTCAATAAAGTTCATTTACTTTTCAAAAGTTCGTTCTGATCCTCTGAAAGGGAGAGTCTGATCTGGGGGTGCTGGCAGGGGCTCCTCTCATGTTGGCTTCTCTTCCGCTTGCAGGAATGCCCAGCTGGAATCAGAGGGGGCCCAGAAGGGTCTTCGGCTGCCTGCCGCTCGCAAGACGGGCACCACCATTGCCGGCGTGGTGTACAAGGTAAGGCCGAGGTGGCGGCTCTCAAGGAAGATCGCCCTGGGGGTTCCGTGCCAAAGGTGCCGCCTGAACCCCTCTTTCTCGCCCTCCCCCAGGATGGTATCGTGCTGGGCGCAGACACCCGTGCCACCGAAGGGATGGTGGTTGCCGACAAGAACTGTGACAAGATCCATTTCATCGCTCCCAACATCTAGTAAGTCTGCTTGGTCCCGAATCGAGGCAGGGAAGGGCTGGGGTTTGGGCATCGGGCCTCCTAGTCGAAGGAGAAGATGCGTGTGAATTGTGGGGCAATCATTATGTGATGACTTGGCCGTATCCTCTTGAATGCGCTGAGGTGTAACGTAAAGCGAGTGTCAGTTCTGCCATTTCCGGCTTGGCGCTGTCAGGTTTCCACGTGATGAAACCCACTGAAAAAGAAAAGAGCAAAAGTCCCATCTTCCAAAGCAATTTCTTTTCTTTGGGAAAGCATCAAATTCAGAGGTGGGTATTCAGAAGGTTCTGACCAGTTCTGGAGAACCGGTAGTGGAAATTTTGAGGAGTTCGGAGAACCGGCAAATCCCGCCTCTGACTGGAGATTTTACAGTCTCCTTCCCTTGCCGCGCCCATAGAACCAGTAGTTAAAAAAAAAAATTGAATCCCACCACTGATCAAATTGGCAAAGTCTGCTGAAATTCCAGATCTGACACAACCTGGAATTATACCACATAATATTGAAAATTAGAAGCAACCCTCAAAAGTCACCTTCCCCAATAGAAGTAAATCAACGTTTGCCTGGTGCCTTCAATCTCCATCTCCAGGTCTCAGCAGGGTCAGTTTTTGTCCCCCCATAACCAGCACAGAGAAAGAAAGAAAAGGAATATATAATAAAGCTAAATGAAATGGCTATGCATATGTCAAATTTTGGGCTTGGCAGGTATACCTTGCTGGCATCCTAACATCAAAGGTTAGGAGGGAGGGAGCAAATTGGGGGGAACAAATGGGTGATAATGTATGGAGATGTGGGAAATAGGAGGGGGGGGCGGAATGACAGTTTGATGAAGACCAGAGAAGCACAGCACCATCTTGTGTCAGCATTCAAAGCCACGCACCCTGCCCCAAACATCTCATGGATTCTCAAAACTACTCTCTTAGATAGATAGATTAACAGAGTTGGAAGGGACCTTGTAGGTCATCTAGTCCAACCCCCCCGCCCAAGCAGGAGACCCTTACACCATTTCTGACAGATGGCAGTCCAGTCTCTTCTTGAAAGCCTCCAGGGATGAAGCTCCCACAACTTCTGAAGGCAAAAGCTGTTCCACTGGTCGGTTGGTCTCACTCATTCTGAGTTGGAAGGATTGAAAGCAGGAGAGAGTTACTCTGTCGTCATGTCTAGGGCTGGCAATCTCCCCCCCTCCCCAAAACTGGGGGAGGGTGGACCGGCAGCGTTGTGGGAGAGAAATACCTGCGTGAGTCAAATAAATAATATAAAACTTATCTTCTCCTATGTGGCTCTTCGTTGGCTGAAGATTAACGGGTCACGCAGGGAGGGCTGGGATGAGGGGGAAAAATTGTAAATTTTCCTGAGGGAAACTTAGATCTAGTGTGGCTTTGCCGCCACCTGTAACCTTTAATAAAACAACCTATCGCTTCACTCAAAAGGAGTCGAGGGTCTTTCTTTCCTAAGGGCCCAGGCTGGGCAGGCCTGACAGTGAAGTTCCTTAGAGTGGAAGAGGCTGATCGGTTTCAGAGTGACTCAAGAGATGCTGTTTTACTCTTGCAGCTGCTGTGGGGCCGGAACGGCTGCGGACACCGAAATGACCACCCAAATGATCTCTTCGAACATGGAGCTTCACTCCCTTTCGACTGGCCGGCTTCCAAGAGTTGTGACGGCCAACCGGATGCTGAAGCAGATGCTTTTCAGGTACCTAATTGTTGTCTGGGTGGGATTGTTAGCGGGCGAGAAAGGTTCCCTCCACACCTTTCAGAGGCGAAGGGAGGGAGGAGTGAAAACGTTCAAGATGGCAACTGAGCACAATTTATGCGGGGGGGAAAAATTAGAATAGAACAGAGAACAGAATAGAACAGAACAGAATTCTTTCTTGGCCAAGTGTGACTGGACACATAAGGAATTTGTCTTGATGCAAATGCTCTCAGTTGCACATAAAAGAAAAGATACATTCATCAAGAGTCAAGAATAATCACGTACAACACTTAATGATAGTCATAGGGGACCATAAGCAATCAAATCATACTAGGAAACAGTCCATGTAAATCGTAAGGATACAAGCGACAAAGTTACAGTCGTACAGTCACAAGTGGGAGGGGACGGATGATAGGAGTGATGAGAAGATTAATAGTGATAGTAATGCAGACTTTGTAAATAGTTGGGCAGTTTTGAGGAATTGTTTAGCAGAATGATGGCTTTCGGGGAAGAAACTCCCCTTGTGTCTCGTTCTGATGCGCGAGGCTCTATAGCGTCGTTTTGAGGGAAGGAGTTGAAACAGTTTATGTCCGGGATGTGAGGGGTCTGTAGATATTTTCACAGCCCTCTTTTTGACTCAGGGTGCAGGATACAGGTCCTCCATGGAAGGCAGGTTGCTAGCCATTGTTTTTTCTGCAGTCCTAACTATCCTCTGAAGTCTTGTGTCTGCCCTGTTGGTTTGCAGAACCGAACCAGACAGTTACACAGAGGTGCAGGTATCCCCGCTGTGATGTTCCTTTGTTGATTTTCTTGCGCTCCAGGTACCAGGGATACATCGGTGCATCTTTGGTTCTCGGTGGGGTGGATGTCACTGGGTCTCACCTCTACAGCATTTATCCTCACGGCTCGACCGACAAGCTGCCTTACGTCACGATGGGTGAGTCACACTCTTGCACCACTCAGTTGAGGTGTCTGCACTGCCCACTAGTGGGGGACCCAGAGCATTTAATTTCCCCCGCCCCCCACTTCCCGCTTCCGATGATTCAGCTAATAGGGCAGAAAAAGAAAGCGAAATTCTTGGCTGTTTTAATGGTGCCTTTGATCCCCTCTCGAGACTCTTGAAAAGAATTGGAGGAAGAAGCTGCCAAAGAAGGATTTTCTCCCTCTGAAAAAGGAGACGTTTTATCTTCCAGGGGAGGAAAAAAACAAAACAAATTGTAGGCCAGCTCTCAAAAACGCCCTAAGTTCTAAGGAGAAAGCGAAAGAATACAGGTAGTCTCCACTTACGCTCACAACTGGGCCCAAAATGCATGTTAATTATAAATAACTCAACATTACTAAGTGAATTTTGTCCCATTTTAAGACCTGCCTTACCGTCATAAATATGAGTCTGTTGCCAAGCGGCTGAATTTTGATTACGTGACCCTGTGGATGCTGCTGCAACGGTCATCAGTGCGGAAAAAAACTGACCACAAGTCACTGTTTTTTTTCAGTGCCGATGTAACTTTGAATGGTCGCTAAATGAACTGTTGTAAGTTCGAGGACTACCTGTACATGAACAGCGTTTCAGTTTCCTTAATTGGGCCTTTCGTAGATTCCTGAGCTGAGAAGTTTCTTTTTAATGCCTTTTTAACCCCCACTGAATTAAATGGATGCAAGAGACGGTGGTAAATGTAGCCATTTGCTTTGCTGAGCTTGGATCCCCAAATTCAACTCACCTTTGGATTATCCTTCATTTCTTTAAAAAGCGTTGCCCAAGTGAGCACCAAGAAAATGCCAGAAAAAAAAACTCGGAAATATGATCAGAAATAATATATCCCAGTTAATGATGATTGGATAATGGAATTGAATAGAAAGGAATAGGATAGGATAGTATAGAATAGAATTCTTTATTGGCCAAATGTTATTGGACACACAAGGAATTTGTAAAATACATTCATCAAGAATCATAAGATACAACACTTAGTCATAAGATACTAAATAAGCAATCAAATCATACTCGGAAACGAAAACAATATAAATAGTAAAGATACAAGCAACAAGGTTATAGTCATAAGTAGAAAAGGAAATAGGTAAATTGAAGGATAGAGAAGAATAGGGATAGAATAGGGAACAGAATAGAATAAGGAAAGACTAGAATAGAATAAGGAAGAAAGGAATGGAATGGAATAGAATAGAATAAGGAAAGACTAGAATAGAATAAGGAAGAAAGGAATGGAATAGAATAGAATAAGGAATGGAATTAGTAGAGTAGAGTAAAATAGAATAGAATAGAATAGAATAATTCTTTATTGGCCAAGTGTGATTGGACACCCAAGGAATTTGTCTTCGATGCATAAGCTCTCAGTGTACATAAAAGCTGTAAGTGATATATCATGATCATAATCGTCATAAATGTATTCATCAAGAATCCTAAGATGCAGCACTTAGTGATAGTCATAGGAATTAAACAAGCAATCAAAATCATACAAGGAAACTAAATAAAACAGTATAAATTGTAAAGATACAAGCAACCAGGTTATAGTCTTAAGTAGAAAAGGAAATAGGTAAAAGGAAGGATGAGAAGAATAACAGTAGTGCAGACGTTGCAAATAGTTGGACAGTGTTAAGGGAATTATTTGTTTAGCAGAGGGATGGCATTTGGGGAAAAAACTTCTCCTTGTGTCTAGTTGTTCTGGTGTGCAGTGCTCTATAGCGTCGTTTTGAGGGTTGGAGTTGAAACAGTTTATGTCCGGGATGTGAGGGGTCTGTAGATATTTTCACATTTTAATTTTAATTTTAATGAGATGATGGACTACTTTCCACCTATCGCCTTGTGCAAAACTCAAATTTTGCTTGGACAAAAAGTCTACCAGCCGAAACCGGGGTGCTAATAGTTTCCATACAGATAGTCCTCAAATTACAACAGTTCCTTTAGTGTGACCACTCAAAGTTGCAACGGCACCGGAAAAAAAAGGCTACTCACGACCGTTTTTCCCATACTTATGACCGTTTGCAGCCTCCCCCCTGGCCATGTGATCAAAACTCAGGCGCAGCATCCCTCTGTGTGTGTGTGTGTGTGTGTGTTTGTGTGTGTGTGTGTGTGTGAGAGAGAGAGAGAGAGAGAGAGAGAGAGATGTGATTTCCCCTTTGGCGACCTTCCGACAAGCAAAGGCCATGAGGTGAACCAGATTCAGTTAACAACGGTAAAGATTCGCTGAACAACGGTGGCAGGGACGGTCATCGAAGGAAGGCAAATCTCACTTAGCAACCTGTCTCGCTTAGCCACCGAGATTTTTGTGGCTCAATTGTGGTCATAAGTCGAGGATCAAGGGGAACCCCAGGCCTCTGAGGATCTGAGGTTGAATCGAGCGAGACCATATTCAGGCCAATAGATGGTGCCATGCTACCCTACAAATGTCTATTGCATTATTTATTCTGTGCATAAAAATCTCTCTCCATCACCACCGTCACCCCTCGTTTCTGAAAAAAAAAATGCTATTATAGGATTTATGATGTAATATTCTATCCCGCCTCTTATGCGCATTAACATAAAAGATGAAATTGGATTAATATTTATAAATGTTGCCCTGAAACATATAAATTATTAAGCCACTGAACCATAAATTACCTTGTTCCGTGTGTGTCTGTGTGTGTGTTTCTGAGAGATGAGTGTACATAGTGATTAGTGAACCAAAACAGCAAAAATCTTGTCTGCTGGGCACTGGGGTCTTTTTTTTAAAAAAAAAATTGGTTTTGTTTGCTCTGGGTCACGAGTATCTTAACAAATATTCTTCCCTGAACCTTGCAAAAGAGAACAAACCATTGAGGAGGATTCTCGGGAAGACACCAGCCTCTCCTCCTCCTCTTAGGAACTCCCGTTGTGTCCCTTTGCCTCTTTCCATCCAGCCGTGCAAATCCTTTTCCTTCTGTTTTCTATTCCTCTTTAAGGAAGAAAAAGTGAGGCCTTGTACGGTCTGAGCAGAATGTCTTCAGGGTCGGTGTGTTAACTTCCCGCCCTCTCACGTTGTGCAAAAAGTCAGATTTGGCTAGGACGAAATCCGCCGGCCCCAACCAGTTTGCCAACATAAACGTTCAAGCTAGACCGTGAAGTTTCTCTGTGTCATATATGTGTGTGTGTGTGTGTGTGTGTTGGAGGGGTAAATGCATAAGGGTTATCCCCTGAGAGCTGAAGGCAACAGAATTTCATTTTAATGGATGCTGATTTGTGTACAGTTAAAGTGGTAATAAAGTTCGGTTCTAATCTACTCTTCCCCTACCCCTATTGTATTCCTATTCCTATTCCCTTCCATGTTCTATTCTGCTCTGCTCTGCTCTGTTCCATAATATTCTTTCCTATTCCTATTCTATTATTTCCTATTCTATTCTATTCCTATTTTCTTCCATATTCTATTCTATTCTACTCTAGTCTACTCTACTCTTCCCCTATTCTATTCTATTCTTATTCCCTTCTGTGTTCTGTCCTGTTCTGTTCTACTCTACTCTTCCCCTATTCTATTCTATTGTATTCCTATTCCTATTCCCTTCCATATTCTATTCTATTCTGTTCTGTTCTATTGTATTCTGTTCTATTGTATTCTATTCCTATTCCTGTTCTATCCTACTCTACTCCACTCTACTCTACTCTTCCCCTGCCCCTATTCTGTTCTATTCCTGTTCCCTTCCATATTCTATTCTATTCTATTCTATTCTATTCTATTCTATTCTATTCTATTCTATTCTATTCTATTCTATTCTATTCTATTCTATTCTACTCCATAATATTCTTTCCTATTCCTATTCTATTTTATTCCTATTCTATCCTACTCTACTCTACACTTCCCCTACTCTACTCTACTCTACTCTTCCCCTACTCCTATTCCTATTCCCTTCCATATTCTACTCTACTCTACTCTACTCTACTCTACTCCTATTCCTATTCCTATTCCTATTCCTATTCTATTCTTATTCCTATTCTTATTCTATCCTATCCTATTCTACTTTAGGCTACTCTACTCTTCCCCTATTCTATTCTATTCCTATTCCCTTCTGTATTCTGTTCTACTCTACTCTATTCTAATTCTCTGTTCTCTGTTCTAATCTATTTATAATTTTCATACAGTTAGCCTTTGATTAACAACAATTCATTTAGTGACAGTTCAAAGTTACAATGGCACTGAAAAAAGTGTCTTACGATCAGTTTTCACACTTACAGCCTTGTGGCATCCCCACGGTCACATGACCAAAGTTCAGGATTCTTGGCAATTGACTCACTTCAGGGCTGGCATTTTTAAGGCAGGGTTATTCAATCTCACCCAACTTTTAAGACCTGTGGACTTCCAACTCCCAGAATTTCCCCAGCCAACAAGAATTCAGAGAGTTGGAAGTCCACACATCTTAAAATTGCTGAAGTTGAGAAATATTGGGTTAAAGCCTTAAAAAAAACAAAAACGGAATGGCACCTGGGAAAGGGATTGAGATCAGCCAGGATAACCATCCCGGTGACGGCCTTAATTCATTGTAGCCCAGCCCTGATGGGGGATTCTTGAAATGGATCCAGAATGGGAAGGACTTTTTTGCCTCCAGATGCCTCCAGATTCTCAGATTCCTTGCTCATTGCTGACCTTCTGGGAAATGATGTAGAATGTCCCCCTTTTTTTTTGAAGCAAAAAAACATTTAAGAGCCCAAGTCTATTGATTTTTTAAAAAGCCTATTTTTTGAAAAGTCTTCCAAGCTGCTCTTTTATGGTTTTGCTCCAAACAAGTATAGTTTTTTTTTTAAAGAGTCTAGATTCGAACGGTGTTGTGGACCCTTGGTTTTGTTTGGAGGAATGCTCACTCAAACCCCCCAAAGAAAAATGCTGCTTTTTAAAGACGACGTTTGAAACCATTCGCCAAAGCTCGTCCCAGCTAGGTTTAAAAACGGGAGGCTGTTGTGTTCCCAAATTTGTCTTTTTAGAATCTCTGGGAAGAGTGCCTTTGGGCGATCCATACACCATGAAACCGAAGAGAAGTTTGCAGGCATTGATTGAGAAACCTGGCTATTTATTTCCAGGATCTGCAGAAAATTCAGTACCGCGGAGAGCAATCTCACAGCAAAATTAAATGTCTTGTTATCTCAGCTTTGTTGTAGAGTTTGCCCAGGAAAATCCTTCGAT